TTTGTTTTTGCATTTGTCCAAGAACATGGCCGACAAAGCTTCTAACATCTCTGCTCACCTGCACTATCCTGTAAGGAAACTGCGACCAGTTTTTTCGAAAGTGTAGACCCATTGTGGCCTGAAAGAGTGCTTGTGCTTGCCCCCCCTGTAGTACATGTCGCAAGGGTTTTTGCAATATAATACCATGATATCGTGTTCAGCGGGTCAAATTACCTCTGGGAACAAGTTCCTAGCCGAATCTGATATTTCGACCTAACTTGGAAAATGTGAGTTATTCCATGGGTAATAAGCGGCAGTTACGAGCTCACCTACCATCGATGACTGGTCTCGGGATGGAATTCCTACCGGTAATCAGAAAAATGATGCAGACGGCACAAATAAGTAAGCCAGGTACTGTTGTTTGCGAAAAGACATGACTGAAGAGTTATTTCAGTTCGAAGACCAGTCATCACCAGTATGCTAGTCGTAGTATCGCTGTTGGCTATCAGTCAGCCATGACTATCCATACCCCATTTTTTTCGAAGTTGAGTCAGAACCTCAGATTTCGCTAAGGTGACGTCTCTAGGGGTTATTTGACCCCCTGAACACGAATATGATACCTATTTTGCGCGAAGAGCGCTGTGAGTCGCGCTACAGGTGCCAACGCTTCGGCGCCAGCGCGCCTGGAAGAAGAAAAACAGTAAAGAAAAACCTCCATAACTCCGCTCAGAGAATCGTTCCGCAAATTTTGAAGATAGTTTCGAGTTCACCGTGTCAAGATGAGTACAATGATGTGCATCTCATTGCATATGGCCGGGCTGACCTGTTGACCTTTCCTGGTTAGTTCTAAAATCTCCTAACCCGTAGTTTCTTACTGTAGTTAGAAATAGTGATTGAGTTAGTTGTTTCGATGATAAATTTTGAATTGCAGGCTCCGAAGACAGCGACGTTCGCCGAAACGTTAGTTCAATAAAACTTGTACAAATTTCGGGAGGCTAAGGAACATACTGAATTATTACGTCTCTGATGCCGAGATTAATTGAAAGCCGATTCTGTGATACTGCAGTGATGACCTCTGAATCCCCCTGAGATCAACTCTTTTCTTACCTATAGCGCTCTGCGCTTCAGTGGCACCAGCACTGAGCGGTTTTGACCAGCATCCTCCTCTATTGCTGACAAGTCAACGTAAAAGAAAAATGTTATCAGGAATGCTCCAAAATCATTGATTTGCCTCTATTTCAGAGGGTCCTATAAGATTGATCAAAATTCTGCCACAGCCTTTGAATAGTCTAGGAACGGTGCAACTGCAGCTGGCTAACTTCGAGCGAATTCAGGTCCTTGAAACGATGTTTTGGCCGAAACGTCGGACACCAATATAGGCATCATATTCTACACTTACTTCTTTTTTACGGCGAATGGCTCTCCAATTAAAAGGAACTTAATCACATGAAGTTTTTTCTACACGGTTCCTCTTACCATTAGAGAGGAAAACAGTGCCTTATATCCAAAACTGAACTCTCTCGAAGCAGTGCTTTTGGACCTTGAGAGGAAGTTAGTGATTGCTTCGTACCCGAAGAGCAGTGGAGCGTCTGGAAAGAGTATGTGAAAGCCAAGACCGACCATTTTGAAAACCGCTACATTTTCTGAGCTGTCATGGTTGTAATGAAAAGTACTTATGACTTGAATGGTTTCTGCTAGTGCACCAGTAATTTTGCCCAAATTTCTACATAAAGTATAAAATGAAGCCTATATTGGTGCCCGACGTTTCGGCCAAAACATCGTCGTCAAGGACCTAAATTCGCTCGAAGGGATCTTATTTGTAGTCTATACTACCGGGAGCTTTATCGTTCTTAGCCAGCTGCAGAAAACCTCAGTAGCTTGGAAGAAAACAGATTTCAGTACAGTTGATAACATTGTACGGGCGATTTCAAGAAGAATGGATTGAGTTTATCTGCGGCGTTCCCAACACTGATTTTTTTTCATCCGCAATCGATCAGAGACGGGATCACCATTTCTAGAGCGAGGCGCTCATTCCGCTCCTCAAGGTACTGCTCTGACTGATCCCTCGTTAGCAGTTGTAACTACGCTAATCCACCGCGGTTAGTAGGTTTGCTGGTATTGTTTTCAGACGCATCGCTCTGGTGCAGCATATACTACTCATTATCCACATCTACAATCCTTAGTTGTAACGTGAAC